CTGAATTATTCATGCAGAGATAGACATTGAACAGCACTGATCAGAACTGATCAGTAATTAAGGGCTAGGCTCAAGCCTGGCCATTGAGGGAAAAAAAAAAACCCTGAATATTTGCTTCCCTGAGTGAGTACGTGCATTCAGGGCAATGATGGAGCCAGAGGGACATAGGAAAATAGAGGCACAGTGAGGCAAACTAGGACTGCAGGGCTAACCTCCAATCTGGACACGTTTTGTCTTCAGAGTGCTTGAGTTTGGAAGCTTAATGCAAGTTTCTGTTTGTAAAAGTATTCTGCGCTAAAGGAGCAAGGATTTCAGGCAGAACAAAACAGGTCGCTTGTGTGTTAGGGATGCCAACTCAGTTTTGTGTGGCGACAGTTAATCAGGAAAAAATAAAGCATCTAGCCCACTGCTCTTGCTCATCAGTGGAGCTCTATTTTGCTATCCTTTCATTGGCAGATTACAGAGACCTGCAAAGCTCCTTTGCACACCAACAGCCAAGAGCTGCTTCACTACTTTCCATATTCCTGTATCTGAATCAGCAGCCTTAGAAGAAGAGATCTCAGCTGGATCTTTTACCCTTCTGCTGGAAATATCATAGGATTCAGTTTCTGAGATGGTTACTCCTAGTTTCTCAATTAGGTATTCCTGGTCAGAGAAGCACTTAACCATGTGCATACATGTCACTCTTCAGGCAGAACATGCTCCTGGGTTCATTCCTCTAGTATCACTTTCCAGGAATGAGAAAGCCTTTTCTTTGCTTTCCCTTTTGGCAAAGAAGATATACGTACATGGCAAAATTGAAGTCAACGGGCTTGAAACACACGCTTGAACGCTTCCTCGAACTAGGAGCTCAATTTCTAATGTGGCAGTGATTTGCAGAGAGTATACACGGCAACTCAGGGTGAGGCGTACTTTAAAGCTCAAACCCACTGCTCCGATCTTATTCTGCAGCACTGTTGTGGTTACAACTTGCTTGAAGGGGCTCCATGAAAACCCCATAAATACTGCACGGATATGCCAGTCGTGACAGTAAGTCTGGATTTAACTGCTTTATCAGAATATAACATGGCAGAATTAGTGCCAGTTACTATAAAAGAGTCAACAATGCGTGACATGTTTTACTCAGGTTTGCATCTGGGAACAGTGCCAACCAGCAAGGAGAACATGACTCACTCGCAGACACACACACTGTTCAGTGCTCCTACTTTGCTTAATGTACAGTCATATTTTCTTGAAGGAGGTGGCAAGGAAAGTATTTTGCTTCGGTGCTGCTAATAGACTGTATTTCCCTCTCCCATGTAAACAACGGTGCCTGTGGGATGCGGGCAAGTCTGCTGGCTCAGGCCCTGCATCACAGTATAGGATGGGCTGTACTGGTCCTATTTCTTGCACCAGTAGAAACTGGATGGAGCAGTAGCTGGAAAAGAGTGTGTGCAGCACATGCAGCCTGATGGGGTGTTCACTCGCCAGTCAATCACTGCAACACAAAGTGACAAGAACACCACCTAGGAAATTTATCTGCTCTGCTGCTTGGACTGCTCTATGCTTTATGGGAGAGAGCAGCTGAAGGAAGATGGATTTATGTATGTACCATTGGAAACCACACCCAGAAGGTAGAGATGGACGCTCACTGTCCCAGCACACCGGGTAAACATCCAGCCTAAGTGACAGGACAGCTAGCACCAATTTCCAGCCATCCTAATAGAAATATCTTCTGGAATAGGTTCTAGAAATACAAAGTATGGTAAGATAAAATAATTGTTTTCCTTGCTCTCCTCATGCTCAAAAAATGAAGGAGAGCATAAAAGTTAGCAGAGTCTCCGAGAAAGTGAAGCTCAGTTCGCCTTCCTTTCTGACCGACTGCGATTCCCACAAAGGGCTGTGCTGTACGGCAGCAGCATAGGTAATTCTTCTGTTAAATTGTAAGCGTCAAGCTGCAAGCAATTAGAGCCTTTTAATGCACCTCTGATACAGCTAGTGGCATGAATACTTGGTTTTGATCAGTAGCCTGCATGTGGCAAGTGCTGGAGCTGCAAGCCAACCTCTATGGGAGAAGCAGCGACACTCTGCTGCCTGTATGAGCCTCATTTCAAATGCTGTAAATATTAAGGAATGTGCTACTTCTTCCAACCTTTCAGTGCTCTGTCTCTATGTGCACAGATGGGCGTTGGGAGACAGAAAGCCAAGTACAGCTAAGTGCACTGAAATGCTTTGCAGCTTTTTAAAATTTCATCCAGCATCTGAATCTGTTTATCTAACCTTTTTTTTTTCCTCCCCTCCCTTTTCTTTTTCAGAGAATTGCTCCTACTGTGCAGATGAAATGCACCAAAATGCAAACAAGCAAAATGTGGAGCTGAAAGATGTTGAATGCAAGTTCCTCCACTGCCAGATGTGAAAAGAACAAGCGGTTTGAAAACTGTAATTTGTTTTAAAAAAAAATATAATTTGGTACTTCTGAGCAATTTGATGATTTAATGAGCCCAGATGGATGTGGGATGAATTTCTAAGAGACAAGTGTTTAATGTATCTGCTCAGATTATTCCAGGACTAAGCATTATCCTTCCTAGTGCATGAAGGTAATTAATATTTCCCATTATGGGCATAAAAAACCCGTATGATCAGTTAAGGAATGCAGATACACCAGTGATATGGAAGTTAATTCATAAATCAATTAGAGAATCTTGCCTGCTGTGTATAATTAAGGTTACTTCAATTATAGCTTATTTTCAGATTTAAGACTCAGGAATCAAATGCTTAAAATGAGAGCAAGCTCCTTACCACTGTATACTGCAGTTGACAGCATGACACAGTTATAGAAGTCTATATCTACTCATGACTCTAACAACGCTGAGCAGACACCTCTAACCCATGTCCCTCTGGTTCTATCCTATTTCCCTGCAGCTGCTTAAAACTAAATGTTTCACTGTCAGGACCATCCTGAAGTCTACTGAGAAATTTGTAGAATATGGGACTGGCTCTGTCATATTAAACATGTCCAGACTTCTCTGCAGTAAGGCTTTGAAAGTAATGCCCAAACAGCCAGATCCAGAGATGTAAGGGAATGGCTTTCCGGGTTTCTTTTCACGGTTATAGTTAACTAAATGTGCAGCATTCCACTGATTTAGTTACATTTGTGCTAAATCTGGTTTATATTGATTGCGCTTTTCTTATAGCAGTAATCTAAACCGATGTAGACCAAATTAAGTGTGCAATTGTTTTTTCACTCTTTTATTAAATTGCTTTTTCATGGATTCTAAGGACAAGAGACTGCTATGACGGTCTGCTCTCACTGTCTGTGTTACACTGCTGAAAGACTTGCATGCATTTATTTCTGCTTAAAGCCTAATAGCTGTGCTTGAACTACAGCACCTCCTTTAGAAAAATATCAGATCTAGACTAAAAGTATTCCCATGTCTGTCCTTTCTGCAGTCTCTCACACACTGTTACCAAGTTGTTCCTAAACCTGCTCTTTAATAGGTGTAACAAACTGAGTTCCTTGTATCACTCACTAGCAGTATATTGTTTTAAATCTTCCATTGTTCTTATGATGCTTCTGTGAGCCCATTCCATTTTGCTTAATTTTGGCTATTTTGAAGCATACTGTTACTTGATGTGCTGCTTACCAACACGATGAAGTAGCTCTGTACCAATGAGTCTACTCTCTTTATTACCTACCTCCCGCGTAAGTCATCCGTACTGTATCAGCACAGATTTTATGTTGGACAGTGGGGGTCCAAGACGCAAGTTTTGTTGGGCTACACTTCATACACAATCATTTTCCAGTGATTCCTAATCTATAATTACATTTGAAGCCAAGCAGTGAATCAGTTTTGTATCTACTTAATAAAGTGTGTTATTTTGTAGTTTACTCAAAAAACACGTTGCACCAACAAGCCAGATGCCTTAGAAAAGTCTAAATATGTTACAGTGTCAGTGTTACCTTCCTAACCAAATTTCAACCTGCACTCAATAAAACATCATGTGCAAGATATGAGCTGTCCTGTAGCATTTCTTATTATGCCCTGCATTAGCTGTTCCATCACCTGGAGTGGATTCAGGGTCAGATTGACTTGCCCAAACCATTTCATTTATCTTCTTTCACACATTCAAACAAAATCAGTTGCTTTCAAAACTGGGATTTACAACTGTTTCAAAATTGCTTAACAAATCAACCCCAGATAGTTCCCTAGATTGCTCTTTGAAAACTTTCGGATGTTTTTTTCAAAAACCGTGTCCTCTTAGTGGGCACTGCTTAACATTACCCTTAGGCCCCTTTTAAGTGGAAAGCATTTCAATAGCATCATGTCAGGGCAACGTGATTGCAAATGGAGAGCTAGCTCTTTTTTGTACTACTGTTTCTAGTCAGTTCTCTCTCTGCCAGTTTACTCCCTTTTTTTGGTATTGCTATTCTACTCTCTTTGGGTTTGCAAAGTCAATTATTCCAAGGCACCAAGGTGCAGAGCAGGCTGTTAAAAGGAACCCCAGAATCCTTGGTACTTTCCTCTTTAGAAATGAGACACTTTTTTGGTAACAGTTCCCTGAGGAAGGCACTAGCTGGGAGTATCCTAAACAACAAGAATTTTAAATAGTCCTTGGTAACGCAGAGCAGGCCAGAGAGGGCCTGGATGAGCAAACACATTTCCCTGCTATCCCCAAGCAGGGAGCGCTGCACGGCTGCTCCACGAGCTTATTAGAACATAGGGCTCCCGTGTAAAAAGTGGCATTTGCCAGCAGCATCCACGCTCTCTGGGCTCAGAAAGCACAGCTGCTGCCCAGCAATACCGTTTTTTTGACCAATGAACACTAAAGCTGCACTGTGTGTCAAATGGTTTGCAATGGGCAGAAGCACCCAAGCCCCCTCTGCTTGAAAGATAGCCGAGCAACGGACAGTCAGTCTGCAGAGCAGAAAAACGGCACCAACCCTCGGGCAAATTAAAGTCGCATCCTTCCTCCAAACACTGCCTGAGGAGGCAGGTGACCTCAGGAGACACAGGCCTTACCTTTCCCGGGGCAAAGGCTTGGGATCTGGGCGGATAGCTGCCATGGAAGAGAGGGGTTGCCTGGCAGGAGAAGAGACGGAAAAATTCAAATCCAAGGAGCCTGTTTTCCTGTGCAGAGGCTCCAACCCCATAGCTCCCTGCATTTCACTCTCGATTGGGCATGAGCCGGCCCTGCCGTGGCTGGAGAGGGAGGAGAGTTCAGGTCCCACTGCCCCTTGCAAGACTCCTTCGATGGCCGCCTGGGCGTCATGTGTGGGGGACACAGATGGTGGTGAGCGCGACTTCTTTTTCGTTGATGCTCCTGCTAGAAGTTTCAACAGCCCACTCTTCTTCTCCTTCTGGAAAGCAACCACAGGAAATACGGAGAGTGAGCAGACACCCCATTTGCTTTTGGAGAATCTCACTGCACGTGGCAGGAAACCTCCTAAACTGCCTTGACTAGGGCACAGAATTTGTGCCTTTGCTATTAAGGTCCTATGGAAATCCTTCCCCACCCAACAATGCTGTACTTGTTCAGCAGAATAAGGCCATATACGTATTACAAAGACGATCTCTACTTTCCAGTTCACCTAGGTGGTGACCGTGAGCCTCTTGAAAGAGATAGTGTGGTTACAGTGGGATAACAAAAGTACAAACTCCCCATCCAGAGAAGGCGGACAACCAGATTGCTGCCCTCTCTCTTCTGGAAGGATCCTGTCCATCGATGGAGGAACTCCTGAAAAGTGACAAATCAGACCCTATAGCGAAAAACCTCCACTGGGAAGCATGAGGGTCTGAGGAAAGATCTTGGCCCATTGCAAGAGAACCACTCATTGTCACTGCCTCATTTATTATCCAAAGCTCAGTTACTGGAGGGAGAATGGAGACACTAGAGGGTGTTTCAATGCCTCTCCTGTGTGCTCTCCTGTCACGTCTTTCAGTTCTGCAGCTGTACCTAACCCCTTTTCTCTCCCTAAAGGAGGTGACTTCTCTTGATGTGCTAACGTCAGCACAATATCATCCTGATGTTTGAAGATAGACCACAAAATTCACGATCAGCAACCACAATGTCAGTGCATGGGAAATTTCCATGTTTTGCAATGTTTTCTGCTACAGACACAGGAAAATGAGACAAAGAACTCTTTCAATTAATGCAAAAAAACAGCTTCGAATTTTGTTGCTGAAGGAATGTATCTAATTTTACATGCCTTAAAACATTGCAAAAAATTCTACTACATGTTTATCTCAAGCAGACACAAATACAGAATGTTTTCTCCTTCAGAAGGAAAGCTTTTGGGTGGAGGCATTGTGTGTAGCAACTGGCCATCTTCTGGTACATGCTGCACAGTGCTAGGCTTGAGTTGCAACCAGCATAACCATAATGCTGTGCAGCAAATTTTCCATATTTTAACCACACAAGGAGTTTTGCGAAAAGTCTGTTAGATTTCTTCTTCTATCAGAAGTTCAAACCATTACCCAAGACTATATGCAGAGACTTAAGGCTGTGAAGTTTAGCTGTATTTGATAATTTGTTCTATAATGGGATCCCTGGGGGGAAAAAGATCCAGCAACTGCAATACTTATGAGCCAGAAACGATCTATCTATCTTCCAGCAGAAACACTCCTTGGAAACACAAGCCAGCAGTTTATTTATTCTGTGTAGACAAAATGTCCCATGTAAGATTTAAAATGATGCTATTTTATGTGCTGATTGCTGAAGTCATTTCTCAAAGTAGCTTTAAAGAATAGGAAAAGGACTACAATAAAATGAATATAAGCGTTTGGAAGATACTCAGATTTACTCTAATGTATTTGGAATATCTGATGTCTCTGCTCTCAAAGTTTTCTTGTTGGCTCTCTTTAGCTGTCAGAGACTGGTGAGAGAGCTGAGATACCTTAGATGTTAAGACATGGAAAAGAAAAACTGAAGCACAGTTGTTTTTACAGAGACAATGTCCACTGATTTTTGAAGAGCAGAGTCTGAACTAAACTTCCAGATCCCAAGCTCCCACACACTGCAGGTCCCAACCAGATGTTCTGCTTAAAGGACATTTGTCATTTACAGGTTACTTTATAGATTAAAGGCTCTATCCTGCCAAGATGATGCTCATCCAGGCAGAATCCATGGAAACCAAGGGATGCCAGCCCTTCGGCACCATCAGGTCAAAAATCCCTAAATTAATTCCTGTGGAAACAACAGACAAGCAGACCAAACCTCCCTGGTAAACCTCCTGTTTCCCTGATGAGAAGGAACCCTCGTGAGAACTGTGCTAGGTGCTCGTGCTGGAATTCACCTGAAGCAATACTTCAGTGTTTCTCTCCCTCCCTAATTAAGAGATATTGCTGCTGTCATCGTTATATCAAATTTTAAAGCTCTTCATGAAATTGCAAAACTCTTCTTTCCCTGTGGCGCAGGGAAACAATACCTCTAATGATCCCAGCATACTGTGTCAATATGCATTTGAAGGTGTCTAAAGGTCAGCGACAGAGTACAATAGCCATTGTGGGACTCCAGAGAAACAGCTATTGTGCAGCAGTGAGCACTTTGAGGCTCTTTAATTGGCAGCTTTGCACATGCAAAGCAACTATGTGAACTAAAGACCTGTATAATGAACAATTAATATTCCTATGTGGTAGCAGCTTTTCTAATTTTTGCTTCTAATTTCAATACTTTGGCAAATTTTCATTAGAAAAACCTTGTACATCTTAGACCATTTAAGGCATGGAAGCAAAAATCTTTGGAAAGAAGGAAATACATATATTCACACCCATCTGTATATTAAAGAGCAGTTGAGTCTGACAGCCATTCAATTTTGATTATAAAAACAGCTTCAACCCTACAAGGTTACTCCTAGCATAAATTTCTACTTTCTCAAGCTGCTATCCCTCAGATAATAGAGAGCTACGATGAAAATACTAGTGTACCCTTTGTTCTACTGTAACAAAAGGAAAAATTATGAAGAATTGATTTTTAGCCTCTTTTTAGTCAACCGAGCATTTTACAAAACTTCTGAGATTAAAATCTGCGTTCCCTAAAGAGACAAGAAGACTTACTTCAATTGCTGAGCCTAGACCTGCTAGTCAAAAATTGAAGAGTCCCATCCTTCCCATTATGGCCTCAGGCAAGATATTTAGAGGTGAACTGATATTAAACAGTTTGGGTGCCTGGGTGCATCCAGCTTTCTCTCCCTTTAACGGAGTCTGGCAAACGCTCTCAGCTTCCTCTGGTATCGCATTTTCAGGTCCTCTGCTGAGGCTGCTCAGAGCACTTCCAGCAGAATGAAGACTGCCAGGAGCTGATAACCTACTGCTATGTCTCTCATGAGAAACAGATTGGTTTTGAACCTTCTGTGATCAGCAGCTCAGCCTCATCGTGCCTCCTCCCCGCATCTGTAAAATGGGACTAAGTTAAAACTCCTCCTAGTCCTGGGGGAATGCATTAATGTTGCCAGTGTTTCAAAGCTGTACATTTCTCTGAGAGCAACCGGTCTTTTTCCATGGCTTTAGTATTACAAAAAAACCCGATGTACTCTTTGGAATGGAATTTTAGAATGCAGTCCCAGTAGTGATTTACAGCAAATGTCCAAGTATTATGAATTCATTTAATATTTAGTGTAATAGCAGCCATCCTTCACAAGAAATTAATTTAATATTTATATGGCTGTCCAAGGCAGTCCCTTCTGCAGCAGTTTCACTGTAAATCAGCTAAGCATTAATTAATGGGCATAAATGCCACAGAAAAATCTACACCAGTTGGTTGCAGACTCTGTGGGTTTTGGAAAGGGATAAAAAATTTACAGAGGCCATCCCTGATAACTTTCAGGAATTGCGTTTTTGAATGAAGGAAAAGAAAGTCTCCCTTTTGCATTCACAGATTACTGTTACATCGTTTTCTAGGAAATCTGTAATCTGCTAAAACAGCTGTGTAATTCTTGAGTTTTCTTTGTCTAGTAGCTACATTTCCAATTGACTGCAGACTGTGTTTGACATCTCTGCCTCCTGAACCTGCCAAGGTCAGAACCTTGCATCTGTGTTGATGGATGGATTCACAGCACTGACAGCACTTCTCCTGTCTCTTGGTTACTGCTGACATGTTTTACTGAATTTAAATCATCACCTTTGCATTGTTCAGATTTTATTCTAGGATGTTCATACTCAAAACTTGAAAACAATTAATTTCATAAGGATCAATACTTTGTTAGAGGAAAAAAGAGTGAAATTAGCTCTTGCAAATAAATCCCAGCCTGGTTCCATTTAATTAAAAAAAAAGGGACTGTGAACATAGATAGTATATGCAGGTCAGAATTTCTTTCTTCCTCGACAAAGCCTAAGCGTGAGACTCTGTTCCTATGTTGGAGCATGAAGGGATCACAGTGGGAATCAGTCTCTGGTAGCTCACAGAGAGGATGTGCCACATTCCTGTGACCCTGAGGTGCACATCCGGGGTGGGGGGGTGACACTTGGATAGGCGCAAGTTCCCATCAATATGTCACTGTGGGAACATCTGAAAAGTGAACACAGTCTGAGCTTAAAAACTCATGCAGGACTAGATCAACATTAAAGTCTCAGATATGTAAATGTTGAAATATTTTGCTTCAGAGTAATTGGGGATGATTTTTCCCCTCATTAATAACCCCACTTGAAGATAATAACCAGCTCTTCTTTCAGCTTCACAGATGAGATGAGCGCAGAATGCAGCTACTTTGCCGATGACTGAGTGATAACCGAGTCCCCTATTTGCAAGGTAATAATCATGCCATAATCCAAATACCAATTAGACATACTGGCTATATTAATACAGATCTTCTTCTTCTTTTTCTTCTTCTTCTTTTTTTTTTTTTTTTTTTGCAGCTGTCCTAATACACAGAAAATTCTGATTTACTTTTCCTCATCTGCAGCTCCTAATACTTCATTTCCTACCTATCCAAGCTCATTAAATAAATGAGGAAACTTTATTGCAGCTGGTAGAAAACCTGGCTCCAGCCGTAGAGATGAGGTAATTTTTCATGTAACATCAGTTACAGCAATAGATAAGAAAGCCAGAGGGGAAGAAAAAGTTTCATTTGAAAACACAGAAAAAAATAACAAAACTGTTTAAATGTTGCCCTGAGCCCTAAAGAACAAATGAGAAACTCATCTATCAGTCAGTACCCCCAAACCACCACCTTTATTGTGTATTTAACTAGGTCAGTACCTGTTTCAGTAAATTTAAGTTAGTGTCTGGAGAGTAGTCCATTTTTATACTGTTTTCAACTTAGCTATTGATGATTGACACTTACAATAGAAGAGTAAGTGGTATTGGATTATATCTTTTAGCAAAAAGGTTATTCAGGTTTTTAAAACCTGTGTGCAATTATTT